AAGTTTAAAAATATAAAACCTACATACCTATGAAATATGAAAATGTTTTTGATTTGTTAAGCTTTTGTGTTTAGTTCTTATTTTGATGTCGAGTAAAATAATTTACTATTATGGACTTTAGCATTTTAAAACTATTTCTATAATTTCTTGCCTCAATGAGTCCCAAACAATCGCTATCTTCACTAAATTAAATAGTACGTATTTCATAAAACTTCGAATAGTTTCAGTGAAACTCAAATTTCACAATAGTGTACTCAAAGTTAGAAAACGCTTGACACGATTCGTAAACTTTTAAAACGACAGAAAGAGTCCTGTATTTCTGCAAAGAGAACGCGGCAAGTTTATATAACTATCATTTATAAAATGTCTCAGTAAAAGACAAAACAAACTTAACTTTGGTAACCAAAGCGGAAAAAGGTGGAAAACCTTTCTTAAACTTTATCTTTATTGCTTTTACTCTTAGTAATACCAAAGTGAAACCGTTTTCATTTGGTGAACAAGTGGCGGGACGGGAGGTTGCGACGACGCCGACGTCGGTCACGAAACAAAGAGTAGTGCACAGGGTGGGGCGGGCCCGGCGGGGGAGTCCTCGCCGCGTGAGCGATTGCGTCCCTAATTGGCAACGGCGTCCGCGAGAATCTTAAGGGGAGGACAGCGGAGCCCGAGCCAGTCTTCTCTCTGCATCTTGTGGCTCACAGCCTGCGTGGACTGCCGCCCGCCCCGCCGCACCCCGCCCCTCCGTCGCCCACGCAACACAATAACTTACCTCGGGCGCCAACTCTCACGTAATCTCGAGTAACTCCGGATTATACCCGTTAATCACTCGGAAATTAATTACAAGTTTGTGTATTAATTGTAGTACAATTACAAGAATTACGGGGTTAAGATTACACTGATTCTATTTGCATTCGGAAAGCTAATATACGAGTATAATGATTGAACTCAATTCAGTATCCAGTTTAAACAAAATAATTTGAAGTTGAAGTTCCAAGTTTAGGTGGGAACACATCCTTTGTTTACATTACTTACAGTGATTTAATGACAATCTAAACTAAGCTAGCTAAGAATGTTAAGGATTATTTTTTCTTATCAATCATATAGGTGAGGAAAAGGTTCACATAAACCCTTAACAACTCGAAAATATACATTTATATAGGGTAGGTGGATATAAAAGCATACGTTAACTATGTAGAACTTTACTTCTACTTTAAACACAAAATATGAAAATCATTGTTTAAATTTGCGACAGAATCGATAGATTTTAGAGCATGTTACTCGATGTGAATGTACTAAGCGATGTCTTTTATTTGAAATCTCGATTGAGAATATTTTCGCGTTGAGCAAACATTTTATGTGTTCGTCCCACGTCCACAAAACTGAACATTGCGGAGGGAAAACAGGTCGGTATCCTAACTCGATATCACCATTCCTATTCTCATGTCGCCTTTGTATGCAAGTGGACGGGTTAATTCGATTTGGTACGAAGACCGAGGGCAATATTTTATCGTATCATGTGATCTATTCTGTCCCAGTATAGTATAGTATAGTAGAGTGGGCCATAAAAAAGGCAATATCTCACAGTTGAGCTGAGCCGGAGCCGCGATCGTAACTTCTACAATGTTACTGCGCCACACTCGGCGAGGGAGCTGACTTTTATTTTTAGAAAAGAAATTATTGTTTTCTGGTAAATGTGAATATGTTAAAGTATGCGAATTTGTAGGCACATCTCTGTGTATTGTCAAGTCATTGAACTTTCCGTCTACGGAAATGGTTTTATGTACCTCTACAAATACACAGAAGTTATACTTACTCATGTAGATAAGTCTTTTCTTCTGTCTTTGTAATATACTTGCGCTACGAAGCAGATAGGAATAGTCAATGAGTACGAAAGAAAATTGATGTTGTAAGTAGTCACCAAATACAAATATTTTAACTGAATAATTGGCCCTGTAATATCAACCATATTCCACACAGATAAGGGTTAAAGGCTTGAGGCAAACGTAATGCCTTCCCGCACAATTTTATTTAGCTTTACGTAAAAGTGTTTTCGTTTTACTGCCGCCATTACGCAAATTTACCCACATGTTTATTTGTAATATAAAATATATTGCTGTTGCATATTACACAGTAAACTCACATGTACGTACCTACATTACTCTTATTCCATTTTATTATATTCTTGAGGCGGACTTCAAGATTTTTAGATTCATGTAACAAAATGAAAGTTTCAAGTCTCAAGTGGCTGATATATGGAGGCGTGAAAGCGTCAGGAAGCCGTGTAACACGGTCGCGGGGCAGTATTCATTAATCTAAGCTGTAACCCTTGCCACGCGGGCGGGCGCGGAACGGGGCGCGCGGGGGGCGGTGGCGCAATATGCCGCGATGACGCGCCGACATCGCCTGCATTATGGATGTTGGCGAACTTTTCGCGTGACGCGAGAAAAATGAACCACGGCTCACTTAGAGATGGATTGCGATATAATATACTAGTGAATCTCAACTTACAGGATTTTTAGTCGACACAAGATTGCAGTTTGGAAATGTGTAACGGAATTTATACAAACAATTTTTATTCAACATAAATTAGAACACCATATACTAAGCGCGCCTTATGTAACTACATTCTACATATATAAAACTGCAAGCAATATGGAGTAGTAAGTTAAGGTCCTTCTTGTACTAATTGTAACTAGTTAATAATTAACTTATAAGATTTATAAGAATATTTCTGAATCACAAGATTCCCAAATGCAAAGCAAAACATGCCTCTGATAAAGTCCTTAGCGCCCTTCAAGCAGTCTCGCAGTTCTGTAATTAACAAGTGGAGTCTCGAGGGAAGAGGAGGGAGGAGCAGGTGGTAAGGTGGAGGCGCGGCGCCACGGATCATATCACCTGTGAATTAATCGCTCCGTGACGATTAATTAGAGCCACGTGCTCGCACGCACCTAAGCCTCGTAACACCACGTGACTCGCCTGCTAATTGTGTTTATTAACCTTGAATCGCTTATGGAATTTATGCAATGAAACTAGAATATTTAAGTGATAGTGTAGTTTAGTAGTGTTATGCTATAATGTAGGCTGGATAATGTCAGCACACGACCAATAAAGAGAACGCAAGTACTAGTCAACGAGAGCCTTAAAAAGTGAAAAGGTACTGAAATACTTGAACAATACAATGGGTAGGCCGCGCTCCGCCGCCCGCCCGGCTGCCTCCCAATAAAACATAACGTTCGCAATAACAATGAGCGGCCCTGCCTCATGCCTGACCCACGAACTGCAAACTCAAATTAAACATCTTATGAACAGAAACATCTTGCAAAGATCCTCTTCATTAGGTCCCGCAAATTGCGCGGGGTGCGGGTCGCGGGGGCAGTGACACGAGCCCCCCCTCGCCGCACCCCTCTCCGCAGCCTCTATTAATAATGCAAATGAGACCGCAGCTCGGCCAAGAAGCGAGTCTCGATTAATTCCGGTTCATTTGAGGTAATTGTCGCTGCGCGCGTGCGGTCTGTGGTCTGCTGAGCCCGCACCGCGGTGCCACATCTAATGTCAGTTAGGGTTATGCTTTCACAGGATCATCTTTCACCATCACTATGGCGATGGTACCTTATTCCTTTAAACCTACATAAGCAGAAAGATTTAAGTAGTTAGCAACTTCCATAAAATAGTCAAGATTCTTTTTATTTAAGTTCCATGGATATTTGACCTATATAAAATTCATTACAAAGTTAATATCTCTTCTGGAGTTTTCCTTCGAAAATTAGAGTTGACTTACTATGAAAGTAATTGTAGTATTAGATATTTTTATTTAGTCAAGACTATTTTCCACTGTGTAATGATTCTACAAATATGAATAGAGATCTAAGAAGTAAAGACAATTCAATTTACTTTAAGTTGCACAAGGTTGCACGCGACGCTAAATAAAAAGGAGTCCATTGCCTCACGTAGCACGGGCTACGGGCTACGGCGTAGCGCTACTACGATCGATACTTATGCCACGCGACAACCTAAAGCTACGAGTTTTTCTTCGTTATTGGTATACTTATCTCCAGTATATATAATTAACAATAATAATAATTGTCTGTTAAATTAGATAATTTCTACATACTTAATTCTGATTTAGGTTCCATTTCTAACATGAGTTTTGAGTACTAGTAATGTAGGAGTATTGAGGATAAATTTTAAATAAACGAAATTATCTAGAACATATTAATTTACTTACGGTTGTGGTTTATAAACATGAGAACTTAATAAGTACAACTTACTTAAAATGACTTGTAACTTACTAGAATAAACAGTTTGGTCACTACATGTTACGGCTGTATGGTCCAACATTTTCCCTTTTAGACAATTCACAATATCAAAAAATTATTTAATTACATTTTATTTAACCATTCCCGAAATAAACAATCACAAATGGCTTAATAAACAGTAACTCTTGAGTTCGCAGTGTAAGAACAAGTGTTTAAAGCAAAATAAACAATTAAAATCATAGAGCAATGACTTTCTCGTTTTAATAAAGGTGAAAATGTGCGGAGCAGTGTTCGGGAAGAGTTAGTGGAAGCTATAAATGTATTGTGAACGTAACGTAGGTATTGAGAGGGCAGGGAGCGTCTCCGAACCAGGGAGAGGGGAGGGAAGACAAAAATGGCCGCCCCAACCGTGCACCGTACTCTTACCTACTTATATCACTCATTAAATCATACGAACTGATTTGTCTAAAAATATTTATTTGTTGTAAAAGTTTAGTGTAAAGTTGTTATTGATTGTACTACGTTTTTTTCCAAACTACATGTCTGCTATCAGTTTACCCGAACTACAAGTAAATCTGTTATGAATTTTATCTGGCTATCATCTAGGAAAAATATTTGTTTTAGGATTCCAAGTAACGTATTTAGATGTAGATATTTTGATCATTAGCTGCTCATGGTGTTTTAAATGAACCAAATATAATAATTTATAAAGGTGTTCCAGTTTTTAAGTGCAATCTTCTTTTGCAGCCGGCCTCCCTTACAAAGTGTACGGTGGACACGAAGGCTCGTTGACGGAGAAGAGAAAACAACGGAGAATCAGAACGACATTCACATCAGCTCAGCTGAAGGAGCTGGAGCGAGCCTTCCAGGAAACACACTATCCTGACATCTACACCAGAGAGGAGATTGCTATGAAGATAGACCTCACTGAAGCGAGGGTACAGGTTAGTTCACTTGTTTTAGATTCGTAATTTTAGTATCACAAATAAGAGTTGTTTAAATTCCCTCATTATTAATTTAAAGTTTGCTCTATAAATATAATAAACATGTGACAAACATACAAATGTAAATGAAAGATATGTATTACTGGTACAATCTTTGGAAGCAATGCCTGAAAAGTAGTCTATTATTCTTGAACTCAAACAGATTGAATCAAATTGAAGTGGATAAATGGAACTTGTATGTGCCAAAAAACTTCATGTACAGATTAAATTATTCTTTGATTCAACATCGGTGAAACCAAAATGAAGAGTAAAAAAATACGGATTTAGGGAGATTATTCTCACAAGGCACAATAGGCTTGAAAAAAATAAATGGTTTCCCGCGCCGTCCGTCACATTTCCGCAGTCCAATTAGCGTCCAGTAATTCGAGTGCGGCTGACGGGCGGTGCCTACGAAAAAAAAGCGAGCAGACATCGTGCGGTTAGCTCTAGTTAATTTCATAATAAGCGCTCATTTTTATGTGAGTCAGATCTGCGACGTGAGCTCCTCCTGAATGTTTAATGCAATTCAGAATCGGGCGAGTGCTGCGCCGTCTTATAGTTATCTGATCACGTATAACGCGCGGCGACTCCGCGACCTGCTCACGTATTCCGGGATATGACGCCCTCGGCGCAACCGACACTCTTATTGTTCCAACGACACAAACCTACATTTTGTTTCATTTATTTTTATGAAACCGGTTTTCATATTTTCAATTCAGTTCCCGTTATACTGACGACATCTACTGTAGGTATGTTTCAGTACATAGGCATTGTATAATGGATAAACAATCGCGTTGTTGTATACATAAGCGGGAGGCACCCTCCCGCGGCAACGAGCGCTCATTACGTTAAAAAGTGTATTGGAATGGTGGGGTGCCGCCATAAATATTGCGGGCGGTCGCGTAACTCAAGCGCGCGCGACTCCTGATAATTAAAACTCGCCTGGAAAATACGAATTCACATATTACAATTAAAACCGGATAACTGCAACGAGCGGCTTGTTTTTCGGTAAATAAACAAATATCAATTTAATGCTGCATTGTATTTTATACCTGCCATTAAGCAGCCGCGTGTTTTAAATTTTAAATTAAGTAATCATTGATTTTGCGTAGGTATACCTGTGTGGTGCTGTGGTGCAGTGTGTGATGCGAGTTTTCCAAACATGAATCAGATCCTGCCATTTATATTTGTTCATGTTACAAAACACAATTTATGTTTGTTTATTCTTTAGTTTTACAAGATAAGACACTACAAATGGTTAAATTTTTGCCACTTTGCGTATTTACATATACATAAAAAGCGCGGTCAGCGACAAATCTACATAAAAATATAAATGAATAAACGGTGCGACGTGTCCTAATTCAACACGCGGCTGCTACCCAAATTCATCAGAGGCTGTGCGCAAACACTGCTCGTCGGCGTAAGCGTTAAGCAAACGCACAATTTGCCATAAGCCACCCGTCCGGTGTGAAATAAAAAGTCGGCCAACTGTTCTGTTAGAGCAAAAGGAATCACTTGAAAAATGACCAGCTGCTTTTTAATACACAGCGTATTTTTTCTGTGCCAACGTTGTCATAGGGATAGGGCAATTTAATCCATCAAGCGGTGTTGCACGGTGGCGTCCGAGTCAATAAATTCTATATTATCACAGACGATTTTGGTTTTATTGTTATCCCGTGGCCGCGAGAGATTAGTTCGAGTCGAGATAAGTCGATATCCATTGTGCCTTTGTTCCAACGGAACAACATCATTGTACTGTATTCGCTTAATCAATAAGGTTGATCATCAGTACACCAATGTATTTCTTTTAGTATTCATCTGTTAATCAGTCTCAAAACTTTGACATTTCAGCATCTTCTTGAACATGGCTTCTATTTACTTTTAATATTTGCTAACTTCAGTAAAAGCGTCAAGTATTTGATGTTTTTCGAAGCATGAAAATATAGTAGAAATTGTAACGTGATCAAATAAAAGCGACAGATAAGTCGCCATCGTAGCCTTTAGTCTGTAATATTAGAGACAAGTCTAAGAAGAATCGTGAGTTAGAATGGAATAGTAAGCTGATTGTTATTACTAAGAGTGGTGGTCACCTGACACGTGACAGGGGCTCGCTGTGACCCGAGAGGCAGCAATAAAGATTGACACGGACCCCGCCGGGATCCGCCAACAAAATGTCAATCCAGCTCTCGATCTAAGATCTTGCGCCTGCAGTCCGCTGGGACCGGCTGGGCGGCTGGGCGGCTGAGCGGCCGGGACTGATGCACTGTCTGCCATTGCTCTCACTTGTAATTGGTTTTACGTCTTTTATCCAAGAATCGTTCAATTTAAGATTTCATGATTGTTTGATAGCCGGTCTGTCATGAATTGATGATGAAACGATGAATTAACAAAGAGCAGCATTTGGAACATTTTGGTTTCATGTTTACAATACAAGGAAAGGATTTGATAAGTCTCATCGTTTCTACTGTAATTTTGTTCTGGATTTATAACAATATAGAAGTTAAACTGAAATCTATTAGCACTTCATTTTTAACAATAACAATTACAGAATAATAATGTGACAATGTAATTAACTGGTAACATATCAAGTTTCACAAATCCGACCTTCCTACAATATTGCTTTTGGACCGATTTATTTGGAGCGAGGGCGTCTATAATCAGTAGTTGTTATTTTAACACAGATTCGCATGATGATCACTTTCGAGTGCTTTGTGACCCTGTGAGTGCGCAGGTGTCGCACGCGCACGTCACGTGACCGGCGCGTGCGCTCTCTCTCCCACCGTGTGCCCGATCAGATACACTTGCCACAAATGTTTGTCGCTCGCTGCATTTCAAATGGGGAATAAAACTGCCATTGTCTGCTTCAATTGAGTTTTATGGCGCGACAGAACCATAATAATATTGTTATTGGGTACGGAAGGAAAATTATATTCTAGTGTGGAATGTGCGCTTTTGTAGCAAGTATGGGCAAGTTTTCATGGGCGTAGTTTAATATTTTTATTCAATTATTCCTTTGCATATAGGTATCAACACGAATAATCGTATGAAATTGGATTATAAAATGTCTGTACTAAATAATACTAAAAAAAGAAGTAATCATTGATTTATAACCTATTTTATCTCGAAATTAACTTCTCAATATCACATATTAAGTGGTTAGTATCGAAATGAAACAACAACGTTAAGTAATGGGACGGTTTAGTGTTAACCCTTAGTTAATCGCGTTGATTGCCGTCGGTTCGGCTAACGATAAAAGCGGATTAAGTAATCACTTAGTGGCGGGACGCTCTTGTCTAGTGATTCGTGCTTTTGTCGGAAGGGTACCACATAAACTTATGGGTTTTGATCCCATATCACGATATAATACTTCTCTTAAGTGTTGTGTGATTTTCAAATGTCAAGAATGGTAATTTTATTGGGTGGGACGGTGATTTTAAATGTTTAATTTATAGATAATGATTTTTTTTCAAACCCTCTACGTGTAAGAAGATGCCGTTGGTCAGCAGCACTTATATAGGCTGTTGATGTTGATCATGTGGTATATTAATGAATCTAATTTAAAAAGAAATCGTAGCCATCTTCATAAAGGTTTGAATAACAAGTAACGAAGTGAATAAGAACATTATTTATAAAGATACATAGGCAGACGTATAGTACTTGTGCCTTGTTCCATTATTACACCCAAATTACACATGACACAATTAATAATAGATACTATACAGTACTATACAAATAAACACGCGTATCAGATTGTGATCATCAAAGGTATTATCTGTGTTAAACTGAACGTGGGGCGTGACATTTGATACGGTGTGACGAGGGCCAGGAGACAAGCTTGTCACTCTTCGTGGGAAGCTCGGAGGAGCTCGGGTGATTGCGCCCGCGCACCGTAGCGCACTACTCCCATAGTTGGGATCTGTCGATAATCTGCCTCGCCTAATTGATTAACATCTCTCGTGAGTTCTCACGATCTGCCAAATAATAAGTGTTATTCACACTTTTCGTTCTCTGATTGTGAATTAAGATAAATAGCTTTCTTGTTTATTCTAGGGAATATTAAAACAGGTCTCACCACTTTAGATTTATATATATAAACAATTCAATTCTCATCTGAAAGACTATAATTTTATGACTACATCCATAAAATATGACCCTTGATTAAATTGCCACCTTCTATCGCACGACAGTATTATTCGCACATAAAACACCATTCTTCTTCTTTAGCTATTCACGATAAATAAGTGTTGGAAATCCAAGCAAGCACTTAAAGCGATTAAAAACTGGCTCGAGGTCGTAATCATAGGTACGTAGAGCAGCTACGGAGGGTGTGCTACGGGCTACGAGCTACGCGCTACGAAACACGTCACAAGATATTACAATGATTTTGTTTGCAGAACAAAAGTAATTGTTTTGTATGTGAAAAATATTTCACTTAGTTACATTTTGGATCATTGAACTACGCTGTCGACCTTTACAATCTAGATATTGAACATTTTCCCAGTGACGACAAGTTTATTGTCAGCATTTTATCTCCATTCATTCGGTCTCATGTGGATAAGCATAAAACGTGGGTAACCACATCAGTTTATTACAGGACATCAAATAAATATGAAAACGTGTGAAAGTAATACTTTCCATGGTTCTCACATTAAACGTCCCGAAGGTATCGAAGTTTGCCCTCCAACAATTACAAAAGCGTTTATACCTAATTCAACTTTGAGCTAGCTCACAGAGTGCGAATATAGTCGTCCTTGTCTAACGTATGTGAATTCAGTATTGCTGTCCCTGTTGTAATCATGTCACCCCTTTGCTCGTTCTCGCAATTATTTTTCATTTAGCTTGCGACTTGTTGTGGTGTCCTCCGGGAATCGTGGGATCAAGTGCAACTATCTCTCAGGAGTATAGTAATACAATTCGAATATGGGAAAATTGCTATGTGACATTAAGGGATGTACAAAAAT